ACCTGGACACAACTGCTCTCGTTAACATTTGAAATCTGGGTTTTCCACCGTTATGGAATCAAGAGGCGGACAGGAGTGGCTGAGCTCAGCTGCTGGTACTGCAGACTGGGAGCAGACGCTGTCTGTCTGTTTACTGGGGTGGTGGAGGTAACGTTATCTTTTCAAATGGTGGAAAAGGTTTGTTGTGTTTCTCTGCCGCCTCAGGTCGCTGCTCGTTTCAGAACAGATTTCACTCTGCTGTTCATCCAGCTTTAGAAATCCAAGTATTTCCAAATCGCAGAGTCCGTATGACCTCCTCGCCACAATATCGCTATCCTGTCTCCTCACTGTCATCTCCTTTTAGGTTTCCAGCAGAGTGTGGGTTCCTGAGACATGTCTCAGCCACATGACACTGCTGCTGAGAGTTTGTTGTGTAATAATTACGGCAACGATTTCATCTCCCAGCCATAGACTGTAGCTAGTTTTCCTCCACTTGACACTCATGCCACAGTGTGCGCTGTGGTTGCTTTACAGAAATGTAAGTCACCCTTTAGTTACTAAATATACTCCTTCCACATTATTCACACCTTTCCTTTTTTTTTTTAAACCACAAGCTCACAGGGTGTGACAGGGTACAGGGTTTCCCCCCAGCATGTTGGCATGTCAGGTTGCTAGCTCCGAGGGGTACTGGTTGAGTTTGAGGTTTCGGGGCTTGTTGACCAAACACTTTCTCTTGCTCATCACAGTTGCTGGTGCTGCTTTGATGAATGAAAACCCAACGTGTCGTGGCATCGTGACTCTGTCTTGGCCAAGCTGCTACAGGCCTTGAGCCACAGTGTCATATAAGAAAAAAAATAAAGATTTGACTAGTCAACAAGGCTATTGGCTGTTCTGGAGCTTTCAGTCGCATCACATGATCTTCTTCAGTTAGCTCAGCTGTCATGAAATTTGATGTTCACATTTGATGGCTACAAATCCCCAGTCAATCGCTGCAGTTCTTTTCCTCTAACCCGCTGCAGGTTTGCACTACGAGCCTCCTGATTGGCTGTTGAAGTCCCACGTCACCTGTGATAGGTGCTTGCTGTTTCTCCATCTCAGTCTGGCCGCCACTCAGCTTGTGCTCTTTCAGCAGAGAGATGCAAACTCTGTTATCGCCCTTATTTTCATGTTCCCATCAAATGCGGTGTGAGGCTCATGCGACCTGCTGTTCACACTGTCACACCATATTTGAATGTTTGGCGACCTGTTCATGTGTGTGGGCAGGTTAAAAAGTAGACGCTGAGTGTTAGAAGCTGGTCATATAGGTGTATACAGCTAAGATTGTTTTCATTCTCCATCTTTATATTTTTTTCATTAATCAAAGGTTCCTTTGAATCTGCTCCAAAAAAAGTTAAAAACAAGTCCGAAAGCAGTTTAACATGCCTGTCGAGCCTCAGCCCAAGGAGACGCCTCATTCTGTGCAGCCAACAATCCAACACTTAATGTTATTTCCTTGTACGAACCTGGATCCAGTCCTCAGAAATCAGAGACAGAAATGAGTGACTGATTTTTGAAAATATGTTCCTCATATACACGACCAACCAAAGGTTTTAGAACACCTCTATTTTTCCAGTTGTTATTAGTGTAATTCAACAACTGAACACACCAGTGCCATTCTTTGCTGACCATCTTGTTCTTTTCTTCTAGGCAGCCTGCAGATGGTTTTATGGCTCATTATCCTGTTATAGCATGAAACTCTTAATGGCCTTAGTAGTAACACAGCCTGGTCCAACACTTTGTACAGAGAGGAACTGTTGTTGTGATACCCGTAGGAGGTTTTTGCATCAGTGTTTGACTTCATTTACTTCAGTGCTACAGCAAAGCTGGAAGTTAACATGTCACTGGATCCTTGGATCTTGTTTCACGTGTCAAATTTGCACACACGTTTAGTTTTTGGTGACTTCTGTCTTTTTTAAAACATCTGTTAGTTCTTAGCTTTGCACCATTTAAGGCTGTTCCCTGGACCTAAGCTGCTTACATATGAAAATAAAAAGTGGAAGAATGTATTGACCCCAAACATTTGAACGACAGTGTTTTTCCTTAAACCAACTGAACTTCTCCGTCTGGTTCTGAAGCTGACTTTCCTTCATGCTTTTACTCCTTCAGTCTTCCCAGGAATGCAGCTGGACATGTTTTTTGTGCTGTACTTCGGTTAATTGATCATCATGTGGGCTGCACATTCACACTCCTTGTCACATTCTACAAGGGAACTGTTCAGCTAAAGTCGATGAGGGCTGCTGTGGAACCTCAGTCACATGTTTCCTGTAAAGTAAAGCTGTTATAATTCACTCACTCAGCAAATGCTTTACGTGAGTGATGTAATTATGTTTGGGCGTAGCTGAAAGGTTCTGATTCGACAGGTGAAGCAGATTCCTTACAGATTTGACAGCTGAGTGAAAGTGTTTGTCAGCAGGTTTTAGTACATCATGACCGTTCTACTTCAGAAAGAAGGAATCTTAAGAGGAAACACCGACCACGTCTCAATTACTTTGCATGAAAATGGTCAAAAACTGAAGATTGACTCTGTTCTTTGTTTATGTGTTTATTTCTGGCCATTTCTTTCTCACAAGGCTCTCACTGGCTTATGTTTTATTTGACTTTATTTTTTCTCATAATTCATTTAAGCATTTTGAAACCATATTAACATTAATTTAAATTAATTTTAATTTGTTTCATCTCACAAGATCAGCTGCATCAAAGATCTGTCATGTTACTTTTACTCTCTTGCTTTGTTCATAGTTGTATCACAGCGAAACAGGCCTTTATAATTAACCAGGGTGGAAAATGA